GTAAAAATCACCTCTTCCCCATTTTGATCCAGTCTCAACTGGATCAAAGCGTAAGCAGAAGAACACCATTAGATACAACCCCTATCATATATGAAAGATGAAACATGAGACTGATGTGCTTCACATTAGGCTTGTAGCTAGGCTGACTTGAATGAAACTGGGGAAATGAAACAAAAAATCCTAAATTCTGTCTTTTAATATAAATAGTTGTGCCATTAAGCTGCATGATAAAGAGATGAATGCATTATTCCACTGACATAAGCCTATGCTTGATCAAAGCCCTCTGTCAGTGGAGGGACTCCACTGGATACAACCCTATGTGGATAACACCATTGGATTCTTTTTCCTTGCTAATATTTTTAGGGTTGTTGAGAAGATATACTGAGAAGGCTTTTTTCTGGCAGATGAAGGCAACAGCCACTATGCTGTTATGCCTTAATTTAATGTTCCTCTTTCATAGAATCTTAGAGTTGGAAGGGACCTAAGAGCCATCTAGTCCAACCCGCTGCAATGCAGGAATCTCAGCTAAAGTATCTATTACAGATGACCAACCAAACTCTGATTTAAAACCTCCAAGGAATGACTTATTTGAAAAATAAGTCATGAGCAACATGCTATTAATTATGATGATGATGATGCAACTGAAGCACTTTGAACAAACAAAAGCATTATATAAGAATTAATTATATCCATGATATAATAACAATGTAAGGGTGTAGAGAACAGTGATAATCCTGTACTTAAAATACATAAAAATCACTATACGTCTTTCCCACTTTTCACAAATAGTAGTACAAAATTTCCAGTCACTATTTTAAAAAGCTTATTGATGATTGCTACACCTTTCTCCCAAATTCTTACTGGCAATGTATGCCTATTTTCCCAGAGACATTGTCAAGAAATACATTATCACCCACAGTACTAAAATGAAATTTAGATATGCTGAACTTTAATTACTGGACTGTCTGGGGGGAGGGGGAATAGAGATGATCACCATACCTTGTCATCCCCAGGGCAACGGTATAAATTCTGGAAAGTGCTAATTATGTTATTGCTAAACCTAGGAGCAAACACATCCTTTTCTTGTCCAAACTGATGTCGAGACTGTCGAACAATAGAGTCAATGACATATAAGCCAGGCACCTTGTATTCTGGTTTACACTATGAAGCAATATAGAAAGAAAATACATCATTTTATATGTGAATCTGCAAGTAGTAGAAACAATAATAGCAAATTACAACAACTGACCTAATTTCAATACTGTTTCAACAGTTGAATGTACCTGGGTAACTGCAAAATAATGACAGGCAGGATGTGGTGGGGATTCTTCCTTATCTTTAGCTCTATTTTTTTTTTAAACTACTATTCCCTGGTTTACATAGGAATATAGGAGGTTGTTCGGTCCCAGCGCCTGCCAACCTAGCAGTTCGAAAGCACCCCCGGGTGCAAGTAGATAAATAGGGACCGCTTACTAGCGGGAAGGTAAACGTCGTTTCCGTGTGCGGCTCGCCAGAGCAGCGATGTCATGCTGGCCACGTGACCCGGAAGTTTCTCCGGACAGCGCTGGCCCCCAGCCCTATAGAGTGAGATGGGCGCACAACCCTAGAGTCTGTCAAGACTGGCCCGTACGGGCAGGGGTACCTTTACCTTTACCTTTTATAGGAGGTTGCCTTATAATGAGTAATTATTAGTTCACCTAGCTCAGTATTGTTTACACTCACTGGGAACATCTCTTCAAGGTTTCAGGCAGGTTCCAGTCCTACCTGGAGATGCTAGGGATTGAACCTTGCCACCTTCTGCATGCAAAACAGATGCTCTACTACTGAGCTCTGGCCCTTCTCCTATGAAGGGTTCAGGCTTTCAAACTATCTGCAGAATGAAGGGACTTTGAGTTACCTCATTCATTCATTCATTCATTTCTATACTGCTCTTCATCGACGAATCACAGGGTAGTTTGCAATATAAAACCACAAAAATGCACAACCCAGTAGCAAATAAAACCAGTAACTACCCCCACCCCAACAGTTTAAAAGTCCATAGATTGTTTAATTAGCCAAAGGCCTGGGAGAAGAGGAATGTTTTTGCCTAGCACCTCAAGATATGTAACAGAGGCATCAGGCAAGCCTTTCAGGGGAAAGCATCCCACAAGTGGAGAGCCATGGCAGAAAAGGCCAGTTTTCGTGTTGCACTCTCCAGACCTCTCACAGAGGATGCACTGAAAAAGGGCTAAGATGATGATTGCAGGGTCCAGGTCAGTTTATACGGGGAGAAGCGGTCCTTGAGGCATTGCAGTCCTAAGCCATTTAAAGCTTTATAGGTCAAAACCAGAACATCTCATTTTGAAATCTATCTCTGGTATCAATGCAGTAAGTAGATCTATGCCCATGGAGGTTTCTGTGTGTGTAACTGTGGCTTCCAGGTCAGACATATCCCACCAGCAGCAGTTGCCGCGTGCTAGTAGAAAAGCATCTTTATCCCATCCTAACTCTGCCAAGCCACGAGACTAGGACGTCAGAAGCACCTCCTAATCTTTAAAATTAAAGTATTTTAAGGTACAGCAACTTATTCTTCCAATACAGCCTAAGAATAAAAGCAGTGGGGTCCTTTTTTTATTCCTTACTTGCAGTGGCGTAGCGTGGGTTCTCAGCACCTGGGGCAAGGCAAGTAATTTGCACCCCCTAACCCGTGGAATTGCGCCCCCTAACCCGTGGATTTGCGCCCCTAACCCTAACCCCCAGATGTTGCGCCCGGTGCGGCCGGGCCCCCCTGCACCCCCCACGCTACGCCACTGCTTACTTGTTGTATAAATGACTATACTTTGGGTGCATGGCACAACATTGCTCACAACACAGAAAACAATGCTTCCATGCAACAGCTTCAGCTACTGAGAAAGTTTTACACTATTTTTCTTTAAAATATGGATGTTTTACTATCAAAATGATGTGAAATGAACAGTACATATGAAAGTTAAAGTATTTCATATTTAGCTCTCAACATGCAACAAACACCTATCATAACATGAAAAAGGAAAGGAAGCATAATAGTAGTTATCGTGCAAATAAAGATTTTTTAGACTGATTTCTATGTACATACTCTGAAGTAATTATTGACACCAGTGCCTCTTATGCATATATGTATTTTTATTTGTCTTTAACAATCTATGAATTGATTTGATCAAGATACTAAAATATTACTAATATGATTTTATTTGGTAACTTACCTTTTGTATGAATTTTTCAACACTTTGTACAACATGCTTGTAGAACTAAAAGAAAAGAAGGTATTTTTCTATTGGTTTAAATATATATATGTATAAAATTCACCCCCCTTCTTGTTTAGTGATTTCCTTATACATTTTCTGGGTTCAATCTAATCAAGCACACAAACAATGACCACATGTTGAAGACTCCCACAGGACTCAATACAACCCAATCCTTTCCCCATTGAGCAGCTCAAGATGGGTAGGGCCACTGCAGGAAATGTGGGAATGTTTCTAATCCTCCATTCAGACCTTTCTACGTGCAACATGCAAATTACTTGTGACCCTATTCCTTGCAATGTGCCCTAAGACTACTTAAATGCACATCCACATACTAATTGGGGGGGGGGGTTAAGGTGAAGAATGAGAGTAGGATGAAAATCATGGCTCTAAGGAGGCCTGTGGACTTTTCCACCTGCTGATATTGCACTTGCACTCATCTGGGTTGAACATCAAGTATCTACTTGTTTTCCCCACAAATAAAGGATACCTACCAATACCTTTTGCTCAACATTTTAAGCTACCCTGAATAAATTGATTGCTGGTTGCTAGTAAGGCAAAATCCCCTATTTTCTCCTATGGCTTCAAAATCCCCAGAACTTTTACAGCTCAAGCAATCATTATTTGACACTAATCTTTTCAATTAATTTTTTTTAAAAAAAAAAAAAGATCAGGAAATTATAAACAGTGCAGTGCACTAACAAAGACCACTACCAGTTAAGAGACATATGTAAACAGTAAAACCAGTTTCCTACCTTTATAGCCTTGATTGCTGCCTTAGTAATCTGTGTCATTTTAGCCTTTGAAATAGGAGGTTTGTAGTCATTCAGCGAGTAGAGCTGAAAGAAAGAAAAAAGATTGCTGTAAATGGTGCCTGCAAACAATTTCCATGTTAACAGCACAATACCGACAGATGGTTCTCCAAAGGAACCTGGGAAAGGAAGCTAACCTAAGGAGAAACTCAGCATAGGAAAGTAAACAAGTATTGGCTTTGGACATGGGAAACTTAGGTTCAACACCCTGCAAAGTTATGATGATTACTGCGAGCTCTACTACTGCCATAAGGGTGAATAAAATCATTCACTGTTTTGGAGCAAATAAAAAGGCACAATCAGAAAAAAAGCATTAGAGGAGAAACTAAACCTGTCTTCTCCTTCAATGACCCTGGTGTCTGCAGAAGGTACAGATCCCACCCCCCACCAATCAATGCTGCCAAGTGTAGCCTATCTCCTTTCTTTCATAAATCACTGGAGCTTATCACTTTTGTGGAAGAACATTAAGCAGACATAACTGAATTCCACAATTTGCCCACCTCTATGTGTCTGAGACTGCAGTCCATTTAATTGCCCCATAGAATTTTATGGGAGCCACTGACAACTAAGAATGCCCCTAGATAAATAAATCTCTCTTTCTAGATTATGGAGAAACCCTGAATTAATTTTTAATATCATATATATATTTAATATTTATAGACAATATTTGGGCCAATATGCAAAAAGCTGTACCGTTTAATTATATTGATAAAATTTATATCCCATCCTTCATCAACAAATGGTTTCAGTGTGGATCACAATAATAGAAATACATTATTTCATAACTTTTGCTGATCCAATGACCGATTTAAGGTGTTTAAAAAAGCAAAATGGACAATAACACATTACATTTTACGTTGATGAGCAGACATCCACTCACACAGTAAGACTTCTACTTCCTCTCCTCCCACCTACAGCCCCCTGCATCCCTCTGGATGTGCTCTGGAGGGTCCTCCAACCCTCTGCAGACTTGGGGGGCACAGGGTGGAGTGGAAGCGGGAGTCCCATTGCCCAAGTGGAAGCACATTCTGCAGGCACCTTTGGATGCAATATTCCTAAATCCCATGGAAGCACTAAGATTCCCAGGTAGAACGGATTTTCCTGGGCCAGGAGACTTTTGTAACTATTGTTAAAAGTTGCAAAAACAAAGAACCACAGGACTGAGTGAGGGAGAAACTTTTGGAATAACATCGGGACATCAGCTCCGCGCAAGGCATGACAGATAGCAGCAACAACTGGTAAAGACAGACATACAGTGAGGGGGGGAAGTATTTGATCCCCTGCTAAATTTGCCCGTTTGCCCTCTGATGAAGAAATGACCAGTCCATAATTTTAATGGTATGTTTATTGTAGCTGTGAGAGACAGAATAACAACAGGAAAACCCCCAGAAACCCAGAAGACAAAAGTCAGAGATTGGTGTGCATTATAATGAGGGAAATAAGTATTTCCCTTTGCAAAAGATGACTTAGTACTTGGTGGCAAAACCCTTGTGGGCAATTACAGAGGTCAGACGTTTCTTGTAGGTGGCCACCAGATTTGCACACATCTCAGGAGGCATTTTGTCCCACTCCTCTTTGCAGATCCTCTCCAAGTCAGTAAGATTTCGAGGCTGATGTGTAGCTACTCGAACCTTCAGCTCTCTCCACAGATTTTCAATGGGATTAAGGTCTGGAGACTGGCTAGGCCACTCCAGGACCTTCTTGTGCTTCTTCTTGAGACACTCCTTTGTTGCCTTGGCCGTGTGTTTTGGGCCATTGTCATGCTGGAATACCCATCCTTGACCCATTTTCAATGCCCTGGCTGAGGGAAGGAGGTGCTCACCCAAGATTTGACAATACATGGTCCCGTCCATTGTCCCCTCGATGTGGTGAAGGTGTCCTGTCCCCTTAGCTGAAAAACACCCCCAAAGCATAATATGCCCCCTCCATGTTTGACAGTGGGGATGGTGTTCTTGGGGTCGTAGGCAGCATTCCTCCTCCTCCAAACACGGCGAGTTGAGTTGATGCCAAAGAGCTTGATTTTGGTCTCATCTGAGCACACTTTCACCCAGTTTTCCTCTGGGTCATTCAGATGTGCATTGGCAAACTGCAGACGCGCCTGTACATGTGCTGTCTTGAGCAAGGAGACCTTGCGGGCTCTGCAAGATCTCAGTCCTTCATGGTGTAGTGTGTTACCGTTTTCATGGCGACTATGGTCCCAGCTGCCCTGAGATCATTGACAAGTTCCCCTCATGTAGTTCTGGGCTGCTTCATCACCGTTCTCCTGATCATTGCAACTCCACGAGATGAGGTCTTGCATGGAGCCCCAGACCGAGGGAGGTTGACAGTTATTTTGTGTTTCTTCCATTTGCGAATTATTGCACCAACTGTTGTTACCTTCTCACCAAGCTGCTTGGCAATAGTCTTGTGGCCTAGTCCAGCCTTGTGCACGTCTACAATCTTGTCCCTGACATCCTTGGACAGCTCTTTGGTCTTGGTCATGGTGGCTACTTTGGAATCTGCTGGATTGATTGCTTCTGTCAACAGGTGTCTTTTGTACAGGTACTGTAATGAGCTGGGATTACAGGTAAGACCTCTCCCTTACAGCAGGTGCTTCTAATCTCAGCTCGTTACATACAGTGAAGATACCAGGTAGCCTGACATCTGGCTGGTTGATAGGGGATCAAATACTCATTTCACTCATTATAATGCACATCAATCTCTGACTTTTGTCTTCTGGGTTTCTGGGGTTTTTCCTGTTATTATTCTGTCTCTCACAGCTACAATAAACATACCATTAAAATTACGGACTGGTCATTTCTTCGTTAGAGGGCAAATTTAGCAGGGGATGTTGAATGTGTCAATATGAATAGAAGTTATAAATATTGCAGCTGTTGTATGAGGGATTACTATTATGACTGGAATATAATTGAAAGCAATAAGATTTTGGAATGCAAAAATAAAGTAAATCATCAAACCATCAATTCTAGAACACGGGGAGCCACCTAAATTATGTAATTTGGTATTTGAATGATTGATATTGGGAATTGTATTGTAATATGGCATTGATATAATGAGGCTATTATTGGATTATTGTAACTGAAAACTAATAAAAATTATTTAAAAAGAACAGATTTGTGAGAAATCTGGAAACACTTTATTTGTTTGTTTCATACACAGACAAACAAACAAACAAACAAACAAACAGTAATTGTTCCCACCAACAAAAATACATGTAATATCCCCTAAATAAAAAGAGAAAAAGAAAAGAAAGAATAATATGAATACATCGTGTGAGTTCCCTCCTCCAATACTCATCATCCCTTAAACTTTAAATTCTTATTTACATTTCATCTTATACTTCTTATCTTTAATGTTCTGAATATATTACTTTTTCCTATGTCTACTTTACAAACTTTAGTCTAAACATACCAACATGTTTTCCTTAGGACAGTGTTTATTCATATGCTCTTCAAAACATTTCCATTCTACCCTTAGTTTCTGGTTTGTCTGATATCTTATGGCTGCTGTTAATTTCGCCATTTCTATAAATTCGGATAAATTAAAAATCCTGTCTTTGTGGGAATAGAATTTGTAGCATAAAAATATAGCAGGATAATTGATACAGAACTGGATGAGTGGAATGCTTGAGGGGGAAAAAACATTCCAGATCCTTGAATCTTCTAGAAGCCTATAACTGTAACTTTTGGAAAATCTGTGTCTATAGGTACTTTTGTACTAAACTTTTTATCTGATATTGACATAACTCACTCACTTATTTATTCCTGATAACACAGACAATGTAATAGTTTGGGACAATAATTCTCCCAAACTACTGCTTTTCCCTGCAGTTATTCTCTCAAACTACCGCATTACTGCATTTATTACCAGGTGTCACACTAAGTTTTGAAAGTGCTATAAGGATTTGCTAATTCAAATCACAACTTGTCACAATTGTAGAACACTCTTTTCACAGCATTTCTAAGCACATAGCTTAGAATTGTGCTTTGTGACATGTCTCATAATATGTAGTATTATGAGCTTCTAAGAGAAGGGGAAAATTGAGAAGGATTTCCTTTCTTAAATTCTGCACCTAATCTAAGATTTCAAGGGAAAAGGCAAAAACAAAAAATGAAGCAACGTTGACAAATCATTTGTAAATTTGCCTTCTCTCCACATGGGATAGTAGCTACAATAGTGTTATAGGAGAAAGGGACGTGCAGCCGTACCAATAGTGGCTAGTGGGAAGATATTTTTTTACCTCCTGGAACAGAAGCAGCAATTACAACAAACTTATTTGTTTACACCTTGAAGCATCCTAAACTTATAATTATCTAGAGAGTAATTCATCTTATTGATTTATTAAATTTATACCCCATCTTTCCTCCCAAAGGAACCCAGGGTGGTAAACCCAGCCAGATGGGTGGGGTATAAATAATAAAATCATCATCATCACTTTAAAAACAATTCCAATAAAGATGCAAGCTGCGAAAAGCTCACAACACAAAAGGCCAGCTGAAAGAAGGAGGTCTCAGTAGGAACCAAAAAGACAACAGAGACTGTGTCTGTCCAAGTCGTGATTTTTTATTTTATTTTTTAAAATCAATTATCACTGGAAGACAACAGCTTCCAAAGTAACTACATCCCTACTGACTTCCAACTCCCATTCAGCATGAATAGGGCTCACTGGCAAAAGGTGACATTAACTATGCACTGTTCTGCTAACTTTCAGTACCAAACGGATTACTGTGGTATCACACAGCAGAATGGGAGAAAGCTCCAAGCCAGCAATCAAACTGTAGTTCGTGTGGTGTGGTGTGTGTGTAACCTGTCTGTCCTCAAGAACAAAAAGGAGCAAAATATTCTGAGACTACTACTAATAATAATAATAAAAAATTTTATTTATATCCCGCCCTCCCCAGCCGAAGCCGGGCTCAGGGCGGCTAACAACAGTCAAATAGTCAAACAGTCAAATTCTAAAAACATTCTAAAAACATTCCATTATAAAAATTAATTAAAATCAAATTGTTGGCAACCGATTAGGCAAAATTCTGTGCAGGTTGCCAGACTGTGTGACAGTTTAACTTCAACTTGTTAACATTCTGATTTGCTACATAACTGTTGTAGATCAGCCTCAGTTGGGCCAAGCATCTGTAAGTTAGTCCACTACTGCCTTTTAATTATTCCATTCTGCATAAAGACCTGTGTAACAGTTAAAAATCTAATCATACTTGACCAACTCACACTTGGCATAATTAGATAGGTCTTATAAGAAATAGCTCATCCCCACCTAATTCTGCCACAAATGGCTCAGACATAATAACAAAATTCCAAACAAAATAACAAAATAGCAAAGAATGAATAACCAGTTACTAAAAAGGACAGTTACAGTTGTTTCCTTATAACTGACCAAAATAAAATAAAATAAATGAAGGTCACTTATCTTACATCTGTTTTATTGTACATTAACGGCTCAAAAGTGTCTGGACTGCCCAAAGGTGGGAGAACCATTACCAATGGTCAGAATATGCAGAATCCTACGCTGCAGTAGAATTCAATGAATTCAGTATGACTTACTTATGGGTAGGTAGGTATTGGATTACACTGTTAAATATTACCAATGGAATACTGAGGAAACAAGTTGTGAAAAGGCATGCTTACTGGAAGACTAAGCAGCATAACCGCTTATTGCTGCTCCTGTTCCCCTGAAGGTCACAGCCTCATCTCCAAACTCTTAAGTATAATACTGCTTTCTCAAGTATGCATATATGCAACTGAGTTCTGCTTTGCTTTTTCAATTCACTGTTCTTTTTTATGCACAGAGACAAAGCAGAGTCCACAAATAATAACCTGCAATGCTGCTGCAGATGGCACTGAACAGAAAAGTATTTGGGGTACATGTGAACTGACTAAGAGTCATGTAATGAGAGTGATAGAAAAATTGTCCCCAAATCTCCTTACAAATCTTATAAGGCTGCCACTTGCATGTATTTGCTGACAGATGCCAAACTTATACACACATGCCACACATACATTTGTTAAATGATGTTGTTTGTATGTGACAATTTCACAATGTGCAACATGAAGTTTTCCACTGGACTTCATCGACCATTTGAAATTATGTACTATGTATGTAGCACAAAGTTACACAAGCAACATGCCACATACAAATTGAAATGCCCTCAAGCTGTTGTGATAATGGACTAAAAATCCAGCAATTTATCTAAATACACAAATGGCAGGTCATTGATGTCCAGACAGTTTCCTAGAATGCTTAAAGGTACTGCTCCTCTGCTAAATAAGAAATTAATATCAGATTATAATATCAGACAAAATGCTGGAGAGTCTACATCAATGAAGAAAAAGGTTTTCCAGCTTCTAAAAATGTACAATTTAAAATGATGTTTATATTATTTGCTTCCAAATAATGTTATTTCCAAATCACTGTGAAATTTCTGAACTCTTAAGACCTATCTCAAATATTATTTTCATGTATCATGCAATTAACAGACTACTCTAACAATAACTTTTGACTGCACACTAAAAGAACCTTGGGATATCAGAAACACAGAGTAGGTAACAATTTATCCACAAAATAAAAGGGAATGCAATATTAAACTGAGGGTGGTTGCTCCGGTGTCTTTCCTTTTCCATTTTCTTTTCTGTCTTTTTGAGAGGTGGAAGGTATTTTGTGTTGTTTTAACAATAATTCCAAGAACTGGAATTCCAGAGGCTCCAAAAACTGAAGTCATTTGTCTGTCAGGTGCCTTTAAAATGAGTCACCTCAGAGGCCTCTGCACAGGTTTCCAGACTGACCCCTCACTTCCTGATGCCAGTGTCACTGTCAGATTGTGAGCAGAATGCAAAAAAACCCTCACACTGCCTTCCTGAATTTATGAATGCTCTTAAAAATACCACTACTGTAGCAAAAAGTAGACTTTATGCTTTCCCTGCTGGTCACTGAAATATAATTTCTGGCAATCATATTTGAGGACTCCTGAGCTAAAACTACATGCATGCCTGCTCAGAAGTCCACTAAATGCAATAGTTCCTAGAAAAAGTGAATAAAAGTACAAACATAAGACTGCAATCCTATACATAGTTAGTTGGGAGTAAATCTCATTGAACTCATTGGTGCTTGCTTCTGAGAAGATTTGTATAGGATTGCATTGATAGCCATTAATACGACTTGTGAACAAATATGAACACTTGAAATCATTTTAACTTATTTTAACTATTATTAACATTATAAGCACCAGAACATATAAAACGTTTTATACTGATGATTTCAAAGGATATATAGTTCTATGGTATTTAATTTCTGTCCTATGTAATTTTTATTTAGTCCAATTCAAATGATACTTTTCTGTGAAGTCCCACTGTTTTCAATGCAAAAAACTATACTGCAACTGCAGCTTTTTAGCCCATTCCTATGCTTGTTGACTCGGATGTAAATTCCACTGGGTTCCATAGGGTTTACTCCCAATTATGGTACACAGGCTTGCAGCCTTGCCATATAAGGTACCATGAATGCACTCTTTCAATATACTGTATCATGTAATACTATCATATTCATAGATGTAGGTTTGTTTTGAAAACTAAATACACATAGTGGTTTTAAAAGCTGGAGTTCTGCTGAAAAAAGTACACCTTGCAGTATAATGCAGTACCGTCATATTCATAGATGTAGGTTTGTTTTGGAAACTGAATACTGTACACATACTGGTTTTAAAAGCTGTAGCTCTGCTGAAAAAAGTACATCCTCACACCGTGCATAGTCAAAACTACAGAATTCACTCCCACAGGAGACAGTGATGGCTACCAACTTGGATGGCTTTAAGAGAGGATTAGACAAATTCATGAAGATAGGACTACCAACAGCTACTAGCCACAATGGCCATGTTCCACCTCCACTGTCGGGAGGCAGTATGCCTCTGAATACCAGTGGGTCAGAGTGCTCTTGTGCTCAGGTCCTGCTTGTGTGATTCCCACAGCCATCTGGTTGGCCACTGTGAGAACAAGTTGTTGGGCTAGATGGGCCATTGGCCTGATCCAGCAGGCTCTTCTTATGACAGTATAGCAGTTCTGAACGTTAGCCTCTAGTTGGTAAATAAAAGTGTGTTTGGTTTCTCCTTTCTACTTATTTCCCCTGAAAAGCGTGTACTTTTAAACAGTATTAAATCACTTTTCTAAATAAAGCTGCATGCTGTTTGTACAACTGGAGTTTTACAGCTTTATTGTGAAAAACTGATTTCATTCAAGGACACATGTCTGTGCAGATTCTCAGCAACCGGGGTTTCCTTTCTTTCCAAACCAAATATTTTTCAAAATTAAGCGACATATCCAAACTCCAACGTGCATACAAAAAAGACTTTCATTTTCAATAGCAAGGTGGCTTTTTTTTTTTTACAGGCCAACTTCTACTGTAACCATCTGACCCTTCTATTTGGCGTAATAATATTCTGCATGCGGAGCAGCAAACCCACTCGGTACGCTCCTGGGAAGAGGGGGAATGTTGTGCATGTGATGCTTGTTGCTTTAACAGGCTAACGGAGACGCAGACTTTTATCAGGCCTCTTCCACCATCTGCAGTGTTGCTGTCTCGATATCCCAAAACATAACCTACAAAAGCAAAGGCTGGTACAGCGCGTTTTAGTTTTGACTGCAGCAGAGATAGACGAGCATCATGGAGGGAAGGGGGAGGGCGGCGGCGGCGGCTTATTAACCTCCCCCCCTCCCCGCCATAATGTAGGCAGTCACGATGGAGGGGGCGGCGACACACGGAAGGTGCTCGGGCAGTATTTAAACAAGGACGGGCAGGGCAGCATTTCAACGGGGCAGAGAGAAAGAGAAGGTGAAAGTGGGGAGGGGAAAGGGAGCAGGGGGGTCAGGAGAACACGGGCCAGAAAGGGAAAGCAGCCGGTTTCTTATTTTCACCTCTCCCCAATTCCCTCCCTCCCTTGTATTTCATCGTTTATATAGGAACCGGGCCTCCCAGACTAAGGAAGAGAGCGCCCCCCCACCCTCCTCCTCCCTCCCTCGCACCGAGGGCCTCTCCTTTCCTCGTACCTCTCGGGAGGGGAGAGGCCACCCGGCGCCTCCCCGCCCCTGGGCCTACCCCCGGCGACCAGAAGCGGGGCCCCTGCCGCCCTCCGCCCGCCCCTGGGCACAGACCTCGCTGTTGAAGGCTTTCACGGCCTCCATGTTGTGGCGGAGGGAAGAGGCTGGCGACGAGCTGAGCGGGAGGGGGGACGGCGGCTCTGCTCCCTGCTGTGGCGGCGGCTGCGGCCGGTTTCCTTCAGAGGCCTTCGGGCCTTGTCGCCATGGCGGCGGCGGGGTGGCGGGCGGGCAGTCGGGTAAGGGAAGGGGGCTCCTCCCTTGCTCCGCTGGGCCGCCCCAGGGCAGGCTCCGCTGGCGCTGCAGGGACAAACACGCAATAGCTGCGGCGCGGGCACCAATATGGCGGCCGGGAGGGCTCTTCGCTCGCTCGCTTGCAGCAGCAGCAGCGCAGTTCTCTCTCCGAGAGCAGCCGAGATGCCGGCTAGAGCGGCCCCTAGCGGGCGACCGAAACGCCGGGCAGACAGCCGAGAGGAACGGCGGGACACCAGAGAAAGCAAGAGACGCAGAGCGGCGTCCCGAGTTCCGCCACCCCCCCCCCTTGGCGGACTACAGGCAGCTAGGGTTGAGGACGAGCTCCCCTCGCAGGGAAGTAGGAGGTAGTGCAGCTTGGTGGGCGGCGGCAGAAAAAGAACGCACCTTTTGGTCAGCTCTGGGCGCAGAGGCGCGCGCAGAATGTCCCTGTGTTGGTTAGCAAGAGATGCGAGGGGACAAGAGAGCTGTCACCGCCAGGCTCGTTGCTGGATCCTGCGCTGTTTTGCTCTCCCACCCACCCTCTCAGAAGTCCCATCGAGCTGAATTCAAGATGGATTCCGCAGCCAAGGGGGGAGGAGAGCGTTGCAGACTGAGGCTGCAATCTTGAATGCGCTTACTCGGGAGTAAGGGTCCCTGGAGACAGTGGTATTTGCATAAACACATATAGGATTGCTCTTTCAGCAATATCCCTACCGGATATGCCGTTACAATATAGCTGTTCTAAATCTGCTCTTAACAATGTTTATGAAATAACCATCTTTGCAGTGCCACACATGTATTCTCATGAATTAAGTCCTACAGTGTTTAACGGGACTTACTCCTGGGTAACTGGCACCGTAAATTGGATTTGCAGTCATTGTTAAATTGTGGGTTTGTTTTGAATTTTACAATCTTGAATAGTTACAACAGAAAACTTTAGACACTCTTCTACACAGAGTATTCAGTAAGAACAAAAACACAGGAAGCAATAAAAATGCATTTTTTAAAACAGCCAAAAGGCAGCCATCCTTTTTGTCAAGCTCATTTGCCAAATGATTGGTTGATGTTTTCTCTAAAGGAGTCTGTGATTGTGTTACAGCTGGAGGTCTTCCTTGGGTGCTTTGAATGGGAAAAGCCACCAGAACTGGAAGGGAGACCACCTCCCAAAATACATGTGTTCAAAGGAGCAGCGTTTGTGGAGACAGAGTTGGACTAAACTGAACTGCTGCTGGACTCCTAAGGGCACCAAGTACCAGATGCCTGATGCTGGGCTTGTCAAGGGTGTGTTTGCTGCTTGCCTTCCACCTGTTGTGAGCATAAGAACAACACTTACCTCAGACCAATGGCCAGCACTAGTGGCTAACATGGGAAACCCACAAGCCGGACCTGAGTGCCGCAATGGTCTCCCCACATATAATTCCCAGCCACTGGTATTCAGAGGCTTACTGCCTCTGACAGTGGAGGGTACGGCCAAACCCACCATGGCTTGTACCCGCTGATAGCCTTATCCTCCATGAATTTGTCTAAGCCCTTTTTAAAAGCTATCCAAGTTGGTGGCTATCACTGCTTCTTGTTAGAGTGAAATTCATAGCTCAGCTATGTGCTTTGTGAAGGAATAGTTTCCTTTTTGTTTGTCCTGAATCTCTTCCAACATTCAACTTCCTTGGATGTCCGTGAGTTTTAGCATTATGAGAAAGGGACAATGTGGGCAACTTCTCCCAATCCACATTCTCCAAACCAGGCACAATTTTATGCAACTGTGCTTGTGCTATGTGTGTGCAGATTAAATGATAAAGAGGATAGCAGCTTTCAAGTGCAGCTGGGAAAATATGCTGGATATCCAATTTCTAATATTAATGAGCAATCAATATATACAGAAGTGTGTTCATATAAAAGAATCACTAGAAGATACAGTACCCCGGTACTTAATACCTTATTGGTTATTCCTTTTAATAAGGACCTCAGAATAACAAAGCTACTACATTTTTAATAGCTTAGCCAAGTCATAAATAAAATGTAATAGATAGCATTACAGAAGTTGAAATGTTATTTTTTTAGTCCTTAGTGTTATTTTTATTAACTGATTTTAGATTTCTGGACTGTAATTATTTTTCTTTGAATTTTGTAATGGCCAATGCAGCTAAATAACACAAACTGAAAAGTTTACATGATTTTTGGCACATTTGGTGGAATTTTAATTAAAACATTCTGGTGAAAGATGCTTTTTATATAGTTCCATTTACAATTCATACTCAGAATAGCCCACTGAAACCAACAGACATGACTAATGTAGGTCCATTAATTTCAGTGGGTCTGTTCTGAGTTGAACTTAGTTGGATACAACCTCTAATATTTTGGAACTGTTAGTGATACTGCCTGGGCATTTTGAGTACAAAGAAATGATGTGAACCAACATTAAAAGAATAGCAAACAAAGATGTGGAAAATAACTGAAATGTGCACTGTTTGCCATCTAAGAAATAGTAAATGGCAAACACAACTTTAAAACATTTTGGCTGTATTGAATTCATGATTACATATACTTTAGATTGGATAGGGTTTAAATATCAAGTCTATGTTTGATATGACTATCATTTGTGCACATATTTATTCTATACAGTGGTACCTCGGGTTACATACGCTTCAGGTTACATATGCTTCAGGTTATGGACTCTGCTAACCCAGAAATAGTGCTTCAAGTTAAGAACTTTGCTTCAGGATAAGAACAGAAATCGTGCTCCGGCGGCAGCAGGAGGCCCCATTAGCTAAAGTGGTGCTTCAGGTTAAGAACAGTTTCAGGTTAAGAACACACCTCCAGAAGGAATTAAGTACTTAACCCGAGGTACCACTGTATTTTGAATCTGTACATTTGTATTCTTTGGTAATTATTTTTTAAAAAGCAAAGAGAAATGGGAGCAGAACAGTTTGTGTCAACGGGCCAGTTTTCAGTGGTGGCTGGTAACATTTTGACTTGGTAAGGCTGAATCGCTAGCAGTTCTCCTAATATCCAAATTTCACAGAGGCACATGGGAGGGGCCTTTTTACCATAGCAATACTTTCGGCTTAGGAGCGACTGAGTGCTGCAGAATGTTGATTGGCCAGAGAGCAGGAGATTGACAGAAATGCCTCCAGAGCTTCTCTGAGTTCAAAGGGAAGAATGACATTGTCATTGTATGTGGGACAGGAAAGAGTGTGCTGCTTAGAAATTTGGGAGGTGAAGGGCTTTTAAAAAATGGTTGACATCCTCCTGTGTTGCAGTAGCCCTAGTGCAAGAGCCTTCACTGCCAGCTATAGTAAAAGGTAAAGGTACCCCTGCCCATACGGGCCAGTCTTGCCAGACTCTAGGGTTGTGCGCTCATCTCACTCTATAGGCCGGGAGCCAGCGCTGTCCGCAGACACTTCCGGGTCACGTGGCCAGCGTGACAAGCTGCATCTGGCGAGCCAGTGCAGCACACGGAACGCCGTTTACCTTCCCGCTGGTAAGCGGTCCCTATTTATCTACTTGCACCCGAAGGTGCTTTTGAACTGCTAGGTTGGCAGGCGCTGGGACCGAACGACGGGAGACCACCCCGCCGCGGGGATTCGAAACGCCGACCTTTCGATCGGCAAGTCCTAGGCGCTGAGGCTTTAACCCACAGCGCCACCCACATAGTGGTCTAGTTATGTAGAAATTCCATTCAGATACATTTTTTGAAATATTTTCTTATTTACAAATTCTGTGTCTGTGTAGGTTGACTGTAAAGATGATGCCAGTCCGGTACACATTTACAACATATCTCAAATTAGCAAGGACCTGGGATCTAAGCAAACATGGATATTTGGCATAGAGTGTTGGGAAGTATCACAGAATCATAGGGCTCACTGTAGTACTGTACAGTATTGAAACAACTGACATAGCTCTGTGAGCTGCAAGTGAGAAAGTAGTGATAGGAACATTAGAATTCTTAGCTGTTCTTTCATCTGTGTACAGTGGTACCTCCGGTTATGAACTTAATTCATTCCGAAGGTCCATTCTTAAGCCAAAACCGTTCTTAACATGAGGTGCGCTTTCGCTAATGGCGCCTCCTGCGCCTCCAGCTCGCATCCCAGGGCAAAGTTCGCAACCAGGAGCATCTACTTCTGGGTTAGCAGAACTCATAACCTGAAGCGTTCACAAGGAGGATGGTACGTAACACGGAGGTTCCACTGTACATGCTTTTAGACTACTACTATGACTTTTAACTGGTAGGGTGAGTTGTGGGTAAGCTATCAGATGCAACACAGCACAAATGATGGTGTTGACCTGATGAGCTGCTTCCTCAACTCCACAGCACATAGGATCAGATGTGTACGGTTTTCCATAAGGAAGGAGTTTATATTACTGCCAGCTCAAGACTGGCATAAAATCACCACTCGTGTCCTGGTCCAGCAGCTGCCACCACGATTGCATCATTGGGTCTTTCCCCATACATAGCACAGCTTGTACTGCTGCTGCCTTTTAATAGGAAAAGGGTAGTGGAATAAGCCAAGTATAGGGTGCTTGTATTGCAAAACGTTTGTTTTAGTAGCTAAAAATAATTCATAGGGTTTTGCTTGCTCCAATAATTGTGGGCCAGAACTGAGAGTGATTCCAACTAATCAGAATGTTTCCATTGTGTTGCCCATTTAATAAGTGGTTTTAGAGCTGTCATGGTATCAGTGGGACAGGGGCTTTCCAGTTCAAATACTGAGCTCAGCAAAGAGCTCACTAAAGCTGCAATTTTGAGCATACTAGGGAGAAAGCCCTATTGGACACAGTGCAATTTACTTCTGAGTAAGCACAAATATGATTCCATTGTAGGTGCAGCAGGCAGGCTGCTCTCAGTTCTTTCTCCATGTGCGTTAGGGGAAGAAGCCTTAACTGGGTTGTCGAAAGGGTTACTGACAAGATATGCAAAACACTTCGAACGTGCTTGCAGCAATATAGGAATGTTAAGTGGTTAATTTTAGAATCCTTGCCAGACACTGCTGCAAGAGGTGCTGATGAAGACAATGCAGAAAACAGTCCTAAATGGTTTGTCGTGAGGACAACAGCACCATCTAGTGAGCAGTCCTGTGGGTAACAAGAAGAAAACCTGTACCTGTTTTTAACTCATATTAATTTAAATCCTTCTCAAGGTTAACGGAAGGGCTGCATCCAATGGAATAAGTGACACTCACTAACAACCAAATTCAGAGCCTGACTTTTATGCATTTGTTTACTACATTTCTTTCCTGCCTTTCTTCCCAAAGGACCCCATGTCAGCAAAAAGATCAGCCTTAAAAGAATATGGGGTGTGGAGCATATGTAAAAACAATCATATAAGAGACAGGTTTACGGAATAGAGAACCCGTGCCCATTCAGATGCTGCTGAACTGTCAAATTCCATCACCCAGCCATCCTGCATAACTACTGGTCAGAAATGATGGGAGACAGCAGCTTCTGGGGAACCGCCCCTTCCCCATCTCTGCAATATTTTTTTAACCTGCATGCATTTCTCAGGGAGAGATAACCATCAATGTCAGCTTTTTAAGATGGAAATGTTCTCCTGTTCATTTAATCAAGTCATGATTAAGAGCTGCTCACATATCACTACTGGTAACAACACTGCAAAACGTATGGAACCAATTATCACTGGTGTGAAATTTTGAGAGAAGACCACATCTGCCACCAGTGGCTCTGGTACTTCTGCTCTACAGTGGTGCTTCTGGTTATGAACGCTTCTGGTTACAAACGCTTCAGGTTACAAGCTCCGCTAACCCGGAAGTAGCTGCTCCTGGTTGCGAACTTTGCCCCAGGATGCGAATGGAAATTGTGTGCCCACAGTCATGCACACAGTAGGAGGCCCCATTAGCAAAAGCATGCCTCAGGATAAGAATGG